CATGCCCTTGCGATTCTGCTTGGGCTGCTCCTGCACGGGCAGCAGTCGAATTCGGATCAGCGCCGCCACCTGCGGACGCGAAGGAAGTTGCGGATCGATTGGCATCGACTACATGCGGGCTTGGCTTTTTTAGGGAATCCACAAAATGGTGGTTTTCACTAACCCCAAAAGACAAGCCAGTGACACTTGTCAGCTATCGCTGCTGCCTCCTGGGCGGTCTTCCACTTGGCGAGCTGCGACAAGCGCTTCTGACCCGCCCGCATCGAGGTGCGAACGATCTTCAAGCGCAGCTGTCCTAACGGTTCTAACGCCAATGCGCCCTTGCTGCCACTAGTTTCCGGGAAGTGGATGAGCCCTCGCCAGTTTCTTTCCGATGTACCAAAAAACGGAGGAAAATGGAGAAGTGTGGAAAGGAACTCCCGCCCTTCTATAAAAGCCTGCCGCCGAGGCGCTCAGCTTCCCACATCCAATCTCGTCGTTGCCACACGTCTTGCCTCGGGTGGCCCGAATTCTAGTCTGCAACCACCATTTCTGCAGCGGAAACCCAGCTAAAAGGACAAGGTCGTGGGTGCCGCGCGCTGGTGTGTCCTTTTTGGGACCCCCCCGCTTTAGTTTGCTCTAACAGGAAGTCAAAAGAAAACCAATCATATTGGGGTTCCCTCGTTTAGAGACAAAGCCAACTGAAGATGAATGCTGCAAAACGCACGGACCACCGACGAACTCATACCATGTTTACTGTTTACCTTGTTGGATGATGCCCATTGCCCATGTGTCACGCCAAGCCGCTCGGCCCACGTCCAGTCTCGTGCCTGCCATGCGTCTTGCCTTGGATGGCCCGAATTCTCAGCTGCCCTTCTCCTAGTCTGTTTTTCGAAGACCGCTCATTCAAGTGGAAACCAACCATTATTAGGGCCCCTCGCCCATTTAGAGACAAACCCGCTTCAAGATGAAACAACAGGTGGCTGAAAAGCGCACTTTGAGCGTCGACTTCGTGGCATGTTTACCTTGCTGGATAATGGGCCGGGGAAAAAATTGGAACCCTCCTCCCCCCGCGCCCCCCACACCCGGGTTTTGGGTGGGCGCCGTCCTTGCGTCACCTCTTTCAAACAAATTAAGATTTTGGTACGGTGTCTGCTCGCACGCCGAGCCGCGCAGCCCATGTCCAGCCTTGTCCCTGCCATGCGTCTTGCCTTGGTAGGGGCAACGAAACCGCCCCTTTCCCAATGTGCCCAAATTCGAAACTCGTGGGGCCCCGTGTCTTTGCAGGTGTCCATGGCTATCCAAGCTATCCAAAAACACACTTCACGGGCGGAACAGCTGGCTAATGTGATTTTCTTTGCGTTGCGAAAGGCGAATCCCTGGCACGCTGAATTAAAGAGAGTAGATCCCCAACCCAGAATTGGTTCCGGCGTTGGGCTCGCTCTGCGTTGCCGGCCACGCCCTGGCCATCTTTAGGACCAACCCGTGGGCCCACAGCTTTAAGGAACTTCAGCGACCCTTCAGGAAAACCATGGGAACTCTGTACCCAGCCCTTTCCAGGCCCCAGGCCAAACAACATTTTGGGTCCGTCGGATTTAGAGGGGCCCGTGGCCCCAAAGGCAAGCGACGGAGCCATGGAGGGCGCCTTTTCCTGGGTCCACTAAAGTGACATGGACACGGACTCTGAATTCTGAATGGGTTTGCTTTTGTTTAATGGAAAGCCAAAAGAACATTTTCTTGAGCAAGTCATCACCTGAATAGGAAACCTATGCGTAGGACACGCCCGCCTGGAGTTTGATTTTGTTTGAGCTCAAGTACCCTCGGTGGAATTTCGGGGGGCAGCAGTCGACTGGGGAGAGTATGTGAATGTGGCACACCAGCGTGGCCCGCCTTTGTAAGTAGAAAGGATCGGCCTGTTTGTTTGGGGGTCAAGCGATCTCAATTTGATCCTTTGTTTGAGGGGTCTGCCAGCCATTGAAGCGACCAACATCTCACATAGACATGCCTCAGATCAATGCTTGGCAGGGGGCGTCTGACGTGCGTCCCAAACCTGGGGCGTCTGCTCCTGCAGCAGGTACGTCTTCTCGGTGTGCCAGGACCCGATGAAGTGGCTGACGTTCTCGTACCGGTGGCTCTTGCGGTACTCCAGCAGCTGTCCTCACACAGCGGGTGATGCGTGGCGTGATCTGTCAGATTCAGTGAAGCAAGAGCGAGAAAACCGACTCCAACCAAAAAGCAAGCTACATGGCTGGTGCAGTGGAAGATCTGGGATCAAATAAGTTGACACTCTGCCAACTCCACAACTGAGAAGCTTCAGAATGAGACAGAACAGGCAGAAAGCCAGCAGATCGCCACCCGAAAAAGCTGATGCGAGCCAGCTTCTGACGAGCTTGCCCACGAGCTCATGGCCATACGCCCGGCCATTCGGCGATGGGTGTTGCAGCACGCTAGCCACCATCTCAGCAAAAAGCACGTGGCGATGTCTCACGATCCAATGGAGCTACTTGCCCCTTCTCTCTTTTTTTTTGGGGGGGGGGGGCCTAAAATAAAAACACCCATGTGTTAAGACCAATGAGGCGCTGGGCTCCTAACAGGCATCTCCTCCAAAATGAGGTTTTGCTTTGGAGGGAATATGAAAAGCAGAATCGTGGGAAATCCCCTAGCTTTGGTGTACAGAGTTGGGCTTCCCCAAATGGGGTGTGTTTTAAGGCTTATAAGGGCATCCTTTCTTTCAAGTTGGTTTTAAAAGGACACCAAACCGCATCGATCGTGCTGCGAGTCCAAGGCGCGACCCAGGACGGCATGTCCACGCGGCACCTCCCCAGGCACCACGCCAGGTCTGGCGCCAGAGCGGTCACACGCAGGAACACCTCAGAGGGCAGCGTGGCGTTGCGCCACACGGAGGCAAGCAAACTAGCAAATCCCCCGATTCAGACAGGGCGCCATGGCTTCTGGCTCATCGCACGCCCCATCCAGCCACTGCTCGTACGGCGACTCCTCCTCTGGCAGCTTCGGCAGCTTCGGAGGGTCTCGGTCACGCAATGGCAAGACTCTGGGCCTTCAAACTCCGGGAAAATTTCTGGGTGTTTTAGGAGACCCCTACAATCTGCCGAACTCCAGTGGTTTAGCTACAATCTGGGCATAAGCACACACGCGTGGCGTCGCTGGCCATGCAAAATCATTACACCTCGCGCGCCAGTGAACCCCATTGGATGCCCTGATCATCAAACTACGACTTGTTCGAATTTGTGGGAGCTTGCGGGGCTCAGCCAGGAAACGGATTTACGTTCAGGCCTCCTTCCCTTGAAAAAGCTGCACGTGGCCCGCAAACATGCCAATGGCAATGGGAACAAAGCACGCTAATATGGCCAGGTCGCCGCCGTCCTGGCTCCTGTCACGGTTAGGCCACAGCGCAGACATCATCTGACTCCACGAGGACTTCGCCGCATCCCGCATGGCCAGTGCGCGGACCCGCGCGCGCTGCTCTGCCGGCGTGATCGCCGCCTTGATCAGGCTGCGACCATCCGCCATCACGGGGTGAGCACACGCAGTCTGACTTAGCAGGCTGCTGTCTGACTTTGAGCTACTGTCTGACTTTGAGCTGCTGTCTGGCTTTGAGCTGCTGTCTGGCTCTGAGCTGCTGTCTGGCTTTTGGGCCGCACAGCAACACGCGAACGGAACTGATGTAATGTGAACTCTTGGGGCTCGAGCGTGTTTGCCTCCTCAGGTGAACCATGAGTGGACACCAAGCTTCGAAAAGAACAACCCTACAAGCGCCCTGCGCTGCGAGAAAAACAAGCGGGTGGGCTCTCAAGCTAGGGGAATGGACTGCGATGTTGCCGGTTGAATGTTTCCATACAATACCAACCAATACCTTTAAATGGGCTAGTCATGTGCTTTTTGATTCCTCTTTGTAGACAAGTAAGCGTTGTAAGAAAAGTAGTAACCCGGGTGATTGGGCCCTGCTCAGCTCAGAGAGCCGGAAGCATCTGAGGCTCTGACTGAGTCTCCGCTGTCCTGCGCGCAACTTGAGGGTGGGCACCGTGGGTCCATCCATGAATGTAACATGAAGGGTCTCCGTGTACATGAAGGGTCTCCGACCGTGCACAAAGGCTGTTGCACCCCTGCCGACATGGCCATTTAGTCTGGTGAAGACTGGCACTGAGCCGGGCTCATGTCATGCTGAGATGCGCTACTTGGTATTCCTTGCCGGCTTGGGCGTGGAGAAAAGAACTCCCAGCTGAATCCTACCCTCCAAGCTCACCCAAGTTAGATCTGGAGTTGGAATCCGGGATCAAGAGCCAAACGAGGAAGAAAAACAATCAGGAAAAAACAACACACAAACAAAAAACAAACAAAAAACATCAACCCGTGGCCAAAAAAGATCAACCCGTGGCCAAGCCTCACCTTGTCCCAAACCAACGCACAGGTCTGAAGCCCACCCAACATTTGCCCCCAGCAAAATCGAGAAATCACCGCTGTATATAGAGCAACATGGGGCCCATGCCCAGCCGACAGTGGCAACTCAGTTGGCAATGAGGCTCAGTTCTGCTGCGGATGTTGACCCCCCCCAACTCCACACCCCTGCCAGGAATCAAACCAACCAACCCAGAGCCCATGGTTCACCTATGTGGAATGAAGAGAGCATCAAGTCGCGAAAAGGGTCCCATGGCGGCACATCTGGGCGCTTTCGCGGAGATAAGTGCGCAAAATCTGGTTGGCACATTCCTACGCATGCACGTTAAAATAATCATACCCACTTCGTCTCAGTCTAGCGGAAGACTTCCTGCCCATCTTGCTGCAAATGCTATTCAACAACGCTTGGCAGCGTAGGTGCTGGATGTTTGCAAGAAGCAGACGGGGGGGGGGCAACAAAAAGATCACCCCTGTTACTATGGTGCCAAAAGGGGCGCCAAGGAAACCACATGTTCAGCGGTCCTCATGCGGTCCTCAAATTAAGGAAGCACCTGATGTCCTCGGCTCCCTGCCTAACATGTTGTACTGTATGCTGACTCATTGACTCATTTGCAGTCCTGGGCTGTGTTGTCCTCCGCCCAGACCAAGCTGAACTGCCGCAGCAATGTGACCGCTGAAGACAAGGCCTCACCCTGGCGATTCACAGCCATTGCCAACAATACGTTGGTTCCTGGGGCGCAAAATTATGATGTCGGGCGATTGTTTTAAACCCCCAGTGTGTTCCACAATTTGTGAGGCTTTGAGAAGATGGGATCACTCATGTGTTGTGCATGGCGCGGCCGCCTACTCAGGGAAGCATACCTGGCATAACTTAATTTAGACGCTATGATGGTGGTCCCATCTGGCTCTGGCAAGCGCACCATTCTTGCATCACAGCTTTGGCGGCCCCGTCTTCCTTCAAGTTGCGGTGCCCAACGGGACGTGGGAAAAACGTGCAGCAAATAACCAGCGTGACACACACACACACACATATCGCAGGGTTCGGAGATCTGCCTCGGCCAAGCCCGACTGCAGGTCGGCGATCTCAGCCTGTGCGGGTTTGTTTTGCATGCGCGAGCCCCCGGAGAGCAGGCGAAACAGGGAGAAACCGAAGCAGAGATAAAAAGAGGCAGAGCAAACCTTCTCATCAGAGACCTGCAAGCATGAGGCAGTAACAGATCGCTAGCAAGCGCATGTATGACCCTACCCACGCCCTCCGAGTCCTGCAACTTCGGTGGCACAAGTGAAAGAACCCCTGGGGCGCGTTTGCAGACGCAGCCTGGAGAGTCTTGGCCACCTCCGCAGCCGCAAAGCGGTTCACCACCGGCTGGGTGGTGATGCGACCTGGGTGGTGCTACGTCAGAGGCCGTGTGCAAAGCTGGATGTGTAAGGACTGATCTCCCAAATTAACATGGAACACGGAAAACACCCCAATTGTGGAGGGAACTCCTCTTGGGGGAGCCCCCTTTTTGGGTTCCATGCATGTCAGTTTGCAGGGGCGTACCCCCCTAGTTCATACCGCAACATGAAAACCCTTTCATGATTCCTGACAGGTTCAAGGCCACCCTCCAATGGTCCAAGCGACAGCTAACTCAAGGAAAAGTTCAACTGTCATCAAGCTTCAACCTCCCGCCCAAGCAAAAACAGAACCAACTTCAAGCGGCGGTATGGCCTTCTGAATTTTTGAGCGCGTAGGCCAAACAAACTTCAATCAAATATGGTTCCAAATTCTGGGAAGGGTGTAGCGCAGCTAAAAACCTCCTCGGGAGGATGCCTACAAGAAACCAAGTGGGTGTGTCTTTTTTAGTGGACCCCCCCCCCATTTTGCTTGATGGTTTTCCTTTTGGCGCCCCCTTGAACACCAACCAACAGGGGGTACCCTCAAAAAATGACAGACTCAAGTTGATTTCCATCCATCCCATCAGCACTTCGCCGCTTCGCCCGCTGTTTTTTTTGCTCCTTCTCCGGCAGCTCGCCGCGGCGCAGGTCCCCACAGATCCGCCGGAAGGTGAGGTTGATGCGCGGATCGGTGGTGTCATCCTGGGAGTGAGGCCAACCACTCATCAATTTATGAAATGGCTTGAGAAACCGCCCAAATGGAGGAGAAAACGTTTTGGAGTCGAGCAACCCATTTTGGGTGCCAGCAAGGCGAACAAAATGTGGCGACGTGGTGGGCAGGAATGTGGCCACTCCAATGGATAGGTGATAGGAGAACAAGGGCCAACATAGGCGGGACACACGTCAATGTGCATTTAGCCTCTCTTCCACCTGCCTTGGCCAAAACGAACTCGAGCCAACTTTTGGAACAACCCAAGCGATCGATCAACTACATCCAGCTCCTGGATCCTATGATTGTTGCCAGGTCCATGTTGGCCCAGCTCCATCTTTGGCCCCGAATCAGGTTCCTGGATATTGCTCGTGCTAAGTGGCGTGTGGTCATACTGCAAGTCGTGAACTGGCAGCCCGCTCATGTGCTGTTAGAGGGCTTGAACCTGCCTCCGTCCACATTGCTGGGTCAAAGGGTGCTCATGTCCATGCAAGTTTAGCTGTCCAAAGGAACTCGATATGTGGAGAGATTTCAAGCCAACGGCTCGTCCTTGCAAGTAATATTGCCAAAACTCAGATCTTCATCATAGTGGTGTTTCTGTTTCCTGATTATTTGTTTGATTGCATGTTTGCCGTGCCGGTATTTGTCGTGTCTTCGCTCGCAAGGACTGTCTTGCACAAAGCAAAACAGCAGAATAGCAAGTGCTGCTTTGCCAAGGATCTGGTGGTAAGCAATGTTGCCATCTCGCTTGCGTGGCGCCTGCGTGCAAGCTTCACGCGAACAACGAGGAGACTGCGCTCGAAACTTGGCTTTGCCTGACAACTACACTCCTGTCCACCAACATGGAACCTCACTGAGGGGTCCTGGAAAACGAATTTGTTTTAGAAGGGACTTTTTGCTGAGTTCCATGTTCGTGGACGGGAGGGTATACATTCTAAAAGAGTCGCTGGAGCCAGATAAGAGGCTACCCATATCAAACGGAATGTGCTGACAGGCCCATCTTGTCTCTGAATCGAGACTGCAAGCCCAACAAGCACCAAGCCGTATTGGATATCCAGGACCAAGCACAAAAATAGCATCTGTCACAACCCAAGAACGCGCGAGAAGACAAGGTGGACTCCAGCTGTGCGGTCATGTGGCACACTCCAAAAGGGAGGACAACTCCAGCTCTTTCTTTAGGAATATCCACTTCGGAGCAACACATGTCAATAGACAAGTAAACATGCCTATCTTCTACGCTGTGCGAGTCGCGAGAACGGAGTACTGTTATGGTCATGCTTCGACCGAGATCGTTAGAAGCTCCGCTCTAAACGCGCTCCCCGGATTATGAGCAGCAGCTGCTGCTCTGGGCCACTTTATGCCCTCGTCTCCATTGATAGGCCGGGTGGTAGCTTGCTGCGTTTACCAGTCCAGGGAGCTTTCACACCGTAAAAGCCGGGATGCCGCCGTCTGCCAGAGCTGCTGTTGCATGAGAAGTGTAAGCGGCATGGGCAATCAGAAAGCTTGGTTGGAAGGGTCGCTGGAATGCACAAACTGCCAGTGCGGCAGCCTGTATGACAGGCTTGCATGCCGGGTTTAGCTGGGATTCCTTGTAGACGTTGATGCATTGTTTGGCGGCAATTTGAACCCTGCATCTGGTGCGCAGGTTGTCTCTGGATGTCCCTAGAAATTAATACCAAGCTGACATGGAATCCGAAACTTCCCCCGTTCGTAGAGGTGTTTAGGAGTCCTTATAGGTGTCCAGGGCATGGCAACTTTTCAACGTTTGCTTCTCCACCACGCACCGTGCCTGCCATGATCAGCAGCGAGCCCGGCTGCAGCAGGATACTCTGCCGCGCCTGCGCGCTGCCTGACAGCGGGATTGCAGGGAGGCGAAGGGTCCAAGAGCAAAAACAAGCGCTGCACGCAAAGGTGTGCACGCAATCAGGACTGGCCAGGGGCCCGTGCTACAGGTGACCAGATGAGTTGGGGAATGGGCTTCGTACGTGCATGTTTCAGCCATATGGCAAAGTGGCATACCATGCCCATATTACACATATAGAAAAATACATATGTATATATTTCTATATATTATACACATTCAATATTACAGCTTTGTAGCTTTAGGAGGCATCCGCGCTGAAAAGGAGGCGCAAAAAGAGATCAAGGTCCGATAAACATGCACACGGACACTGTCGGGATCTCAACTCCTGTCCCTCTCCACTCAACGCCATTAGCAAGCCTCAAATGCCAGTTCGCCTCTGCAACGTCGCTTCACAAACCCCCAACCCACCCCAAACAAAACAAAACAACGAAATGCATGTCCGAGTGGACCGCAAAAGCAACTGTTCCCAGACATGGGTAACGATCATAATTTGAGTTCCTAGCTTAAATCCAACTCTTTGTGCCAGCTCCAATCAGAATGCAAGAGATGACGCAAGCGCCTGTAAGCGGGCCAACCTGCAGTAACAAATGCGGTTTCGACACATGTGCTGGGTGGCAGGGTCACGGAACCAACTAATTTCACACCTTCTGACCCGAGGGGCGTGGCCTTTGGGATTTCATAGGATGACTGGCCGCCGAGCGTCGGTCCGCATCCCCCTTCCGCGGCTTGCGGCGAAGCTCGAAGCGCCGGGGCGCCCCCAGGGAGAGAGAGCCTCATGTCGTGGCGGATCCGCCGGTGCGACCGGTGAAGCCCTTCCCTCCTCCCATGCAGTCAATAAGCTGCCACCCTTATTGGTTTAAAGCTCTGGGGGCTACCTGAAACCGGCAACCATACTTTTTTTTGAGGGGGATATGATATGGGACATGTCGCCTCTTGAGAACGTACTGCACTAGTATGGCCGTACCAAGGGGATTCTGTTGACCAAGTCCCAAGAATCTGCACGGCAAGAGCCTGCAGGCAAGCAGCCAATGAGAATCTGGTCAGGGCAGCCGTAGCAGTTCCTGGGTCAGGGTAGCTCACGCACCGCCGCAAAAGCCGGCCGAAGGAAAGCTCATAGACAAGGTTGCTCCCTTTACCTCAACAGCACCGACCACAGTCCCACAAATAACAGCTCTGCTAGGAAAAATGAAGGGAAGGCAGGCCAACCGGACCCATTCACATCTAGGCATTGTCACGTCAAGGATGTCATAAACCGAGAAGGGCTTGCTGAACAGTAACTTCTACTGCTCCAGCAAGACTGCAAGCAGGGAGATACAGAATAAGGGTGCAACCTCCAAGTCCAACGTGCGAAACAAGGAATGGCCGTTTCACCTACTGACCCTTTCAACAAATCTTGTATTGATTTCTTTACTTGTGGAGATGGGGTGCTTACTGAAAGCGCCTATTACTTACAAAGGTGCACCGGAGTGAATATGTCCCACAAGCAGCGACGTGATTGAGATAGTGTTGCATGCAGCTGAGCAGGCAAAATGGATGCCAAAAAGCCTGGGTGGTTCAGCAAATGCACGCGTAACATCATGTGAGACTCCCCTTAGTTCTGCTTCATTCAGCTGTGCAGTGCAGCAAAGGCGCTCGTCATCAGCATGCCACTTGATTTGAGCCTGGCCGTCCATGTAGTGATTCACCAGCACCTTGCTTGGTGGCACTCAAAATGACAGTTGTTTGGGAAGGCTGAAAGCTCAGGCACACCCTTTCCCAAAGCGCACGTGTCCTGCATTTATTCACTCCAAAGCCCATCCTCAACAGCAATTGACCCTCCGGTTCATGGTTTCCCTTGCATGTGCGCATTCTAGACATGCCATTGCCGTCCTAAAGAGTGACACACACCCGTCAAAAGCAAGGGGCACAGAAAATTACCATGATGCCACAACAGAAAACAAAACATGGAGGGCGCTTGTGTTCGCACGATGCTACATCCCCTCAGCCTGGCACGCTGTTGAAGAGGGGCATCTCCGCCAAATGCGCGCCTGGGCCGCGAAGAGGACGCTTGGAATCGCTTGGGTGGATTGGAACAGGTTGCTCAATGACCCAACGGGACCAGGGTTTGTATGATGTTGCAGCGCAAAAACTTCGAACCATGTCGAACCTTACGTGGGAAACAAGGTTTGTCAGGCCTGGATTGGGGCTGAATGAAACAGGGAACCAGGCCCAAACAACAAAACCTGTGACGACGGGAGTTGTTTGCCAAGGCGCTAAACAACAAAACCTGTGACGACGGGACTTGTTTGCCAAGGCGCTGAGTTGTGGAATAGCGGCCAAGGTCCGTCGCGTTTCCTTCTCAACCAAGTCTCGCAACACCAAGACACTCTCCACATGCCTCAGCTTGGCTTGCTTGGAACATAAACAATACTTGCAACTGACGGAGATATGCTGTGATGTGCTTTCACGCTTTCAGCAATGCTCATGTTGGAAGCAAGTGCATTATTTTCAGAGTATGCTTGGTTCTTGGACTGACCTTCCTGCTTCTCACAAGGCTGCTTTATTACCCCACAACTAGCTTTGGCAGGGGTGGGCAGTGACGAACAGGCCCTTGTATGTACAGGCATGTGTATCATGACCCTTTGCCATACCATCCTTTCAGGATGGCTCGAACTCTGACTAATTAGTGTGGACGATGTCCTGGGCAAGACCATGTACTGCAGCAGTTTGCACTTGCCATTCAAGCACCATAACATACCAACACAACACTGTTGCCAATGCTGATAGGTTTGACAGGGATCCACATTATACACCTGAACATTGCCTTGTAAATGGTGTTTCCCTCTATTTTGGTGAACAAAGCCATGCTTCAAATGGGCAAAATGTATCATATAAGGAGCCCTGTTTGATGGAAGTGATAAATTAGAGAAGGTCACAGCCTGGTGTTCACCACCTTAGGTGGATGCCGCTTGAAAGGACAGGTTTTCATTGAGACCCGAAATCGAAGTTGAAGTCATATCAAAACTACCACCAAAATCCAAGGGAAGCCAAAATTACCAAAAAGAAACCGGGCTGACCCTAGATCCCCTGCTAAAAGTCTAACTTCTAGTAAATTACATGGAAACTGCCAGGAAAAACCCTAAAAACCTCGAACCTACGGGGATGGCTGAGGAAAATGGACCTCTGACCCAGCTCCGCTGTCTGGGCACTGGCCCTGCAGCGCGCGGCCCGCCAGGCACCAGCGGGGGTTCAAGCGGAAGCGCTGGGCAGCTTCCAGCGCCTCGCTCGCGTCGGGCGAAAATCCTGTCAACGTGTCTCACCTCAACAGTTCAGCTGATCATGAAATCGGATTTGCAAAGATATGGTTCACTCATAGGTGCCCATTTTGGTTGTCCTCTGATCCTGCTGCGTAGATGCCCGTTCAATGTCTTGGAACGAATGCCGGCAATGATTTGTATCTGCGGAAACGGGTGGATGATTTTTCGGGGCTTGCTAGTTTTACCCTTTTCAAAGCTAAAGCACAGACTAACACGCAGCCCCTATACTCCTGCCCCAATTGGGAATGAAAGTACCCCACCCATGATTGTTCCGGCCCTTAGAATTTGCAGCTCCAAAGGAAGCAAAGGCTCGGCATCCTCGAAGGTGCCCGCGGCATAGAACTGGCTGCGGTCATTGGCAGCGGACGTGTCCTGGGGCAATCGAGATGTCCTGGTTTCAACGGAACTCATACGTCGTATCCAAGCACATCCGATCTGCAGGAAGGCGTGGTCGTTGAACAAGTAAATGGCTTTGCGCAGCATGTGATTTTCTGAAAACCGACCACAACACCAAGTCCGCCCAAGCTAAAAAGCCAGGCCAACACAACTACGGAAGCTACACAATCCCAATTCAAAACGAAGAGAGGATGGGATTCTATTGTTGACAAATTGTCTTGAGCAATGCGGGCCATGGCTACTCCCCAACGATCACAAGGCTGAGAAACATATACGCGCACAATTGCAGGTGGTAACACCTAAACCAAAAAAAAACGACCTGAATCCTGCAAGCGCTATTTCCACCCCCACTGCCCATAGTTCTGCACTATCAGTTCCCTCCATGGCAGGCGTTCACCCAAACATGGCTCTCTACTGCTGGAAACATCGCCCCTGCTCATCATACCTTACTTGCCATGATGGCGTGTCAAGGCAAGACACCATGTTCTGATATTTGTGGGAGAGATCTTATCGAAACCAAGAAGCAGCATTTCAGCCACACCCTCGCAGATTCAGCTCCTTTGGAGGCCGCGGTGCGGACGAGGCTACCAGGGCCAGTGTTTCTGAAAGCTGGTGGAAGATCCCCGCATCGCAAACGTCCGGGCAATAGGACCTGGGATAGGTCTGTCTGCTGCGCAAGTCATCCATGTATGGTAGCGTAGCATCCAAATCTGTCTTGGCCAAGTGCAGTTGTCTGCTGCAGCTTGGTAGGAATCTGGACATTGATGAACTGCGGCCCAGTGACAGCAGCGCCATATCTTCTTGCACTCGTGTCAAAGCTGCCTTTTTGTTTTTGACCAAGGCGGCTTTACGGTTACGTCAGCGGACGGGGGAGAAAGTGCCAAGGAGCACAAAGCTTTCATCGTCCAGCCACAGGGCCAGAGGCTCCGTTCCGTCGTAGGTCCTTGGCAAAACAAAAAAGAAGTGCAGAATTGTGATGCGGGCCCAGAACAGGCCGGACTCGTGCCTGACAACCCTTCCAAACCCCCCAAATTCCTTCTTGAAATGCACGGAAATCCTTCAGTAGTTGATAGACCATTGGAAAACAAGGGCTCCAAACACATGCTGCCTCACAAGGGGTGAAACTTCTGTTTTCAAATGTTGGCAGCTTTGCCTGCAATCCCTCAAATTGGCCAGCGTCCTTAAAACAGCGGTGTTTAGTTGTTCATTGCATGGCGAAGCAAAAGCAGCAAAAACAGCAAAAGCAAACAAACATGGTAACATGATACTGATACAGCAATACTCTTCTGATTTATTCCGCCCCCCCCCCCCGCCCCGGGCCTCAAGGTCGACAAGCTCTTGGCAAACAAGTTTGTGAAGGGTCTCTCCTCAACCACCCACTTGTACTCCAGAGCTGGCCAACCCTGTTCAGGACTGCCAAAGGAGTGCACTGTAGTTGACTAATTGGGCTGCTGTTGTGCTTCTGTTTCGAGCGTTTGGAATGGCAACCCCCGGGCTATGGGTTCAGGGCAAACGCAGTGGCAACCGTGTTGCATTTCACGTTCCCACTCGGTTGCTTGAAGCACATGATGTGATCAAAAAGACCCTCCATCCTCTTACAAGTTGGCAAGCGCTCGCAAGAAGTCATGAAAATCCACCAAAGGCTGATGAACCCTCACTTGAAAGCCAACAAGCACCAACAAAAACACTCAATCACGAACTTCTAAGCCATGCGCCACTGCAAACGCAGTATTGACACTGACTTCTTTCTTGGTCAGTGCTATGGTTCGTTCCATGCTCACAGCTACTTTTTGCATAACAAGCCCCACGTGCCTACCAAGGGTCTGAAGCCTAAGGAACAGATCAAGTCGTGCATCTCTGGGAATTGGAAGAATCATTGCGCGTGATTGGCCGCACATCTTTCCGCCAAGCCAAAGTTGTCGAACTCTTTCCGCCTGTCTCCGTTTCTCACTGCCAGGGCTCATCTCTGTGCACAGCGCCATCCGATGGTCGGACCATGGCAAGCCCAAGGCTGCCTGCCTCCCCCCAAGCAACAAACCTTTAGTTGGTTGCTTGGCCTGACTTGGGCCATGGGACAAACAGGAGGCCTATCAAAAAAACGTGTTGGGATGTGTTGGGTGGGCGCCTAGGTGGAAGGCACCTAGGTTTCAATGCATGGTGTGGGCGAATGCACAGGATTAAATTTGAAGTAGAGCCAGGTAGGGCATAAGACAACCACCCACGCAATGACCTCAACATCCTAAACACTGTCGTGCAAAGCTTGAACTGTAGGTCAGTGGGCTCATGGATGTCCGCGATGCAAGAGGCCAGTCGCTCCTGCAAAGTATTTCACGCCAAACAGAAGATTGCTACTATCCTTATCTGCTTCTCGATGCGTCCCTTGGGTGAGCCGAATGCAGCGGCGGCTTCTCATTCTGAAATATCCCATCGGTTGCGAGGGTCCGAAACCAAGTTTTTGGGGTCCAGAAAAGAAGCCTCAACAAGTACTGCCATTTCTTACCAATCGATAGATGAAGGTTAGGATGAACCTTCCAGGAGATCTCATGTCCTGCAAAGGTATCATCCATGTAAGCTCGGGCACCGCACCCGTTGACTCCAGGAAGCGGCAGGTGAGGATGTTCTCGTCGAATCCTACGCCCCAAACTGTCGATTGTTCTATATTCTTCAGCTTGCCGGATACTTCTACAACCTCGAACAAGGCAAAACATATATGGAAGTCTGACAAGTTCTTGACTTTGCTCAACGCCGCTTAGCCTGCTGTCATGTACAAAAGGGGCTGCAATCTTGGCACTCGTGGGGCTGGCTAGTTGTGATTTTTTTTGGTTAAGATGGAACTCGCACGGTATACGCGTTGAAACCTAGAGTACATTTTAGACCAATTGCACGCGCTACAATGATCATTCGGATTTGGAAGAGTTGGATGGCCATCAGATTCGCATGTTGCATCACATGGAACATGCGCGTCCAAGTGCTCACGTCTGTCTCTCACCTTGGTCATTCCTCGATTCGCAGCTTCCGGTGTTTCCGAGTGCGGCCTCCAGGGCTAGGGGTCAACGTCGCCAGCAGCGTGGTGCGGCTGTTGTTGGTCAGGCTGTCTGAGAGCCTCGGCGCCAATGACTGTCAAGTTCTTGGGCCTTCGCAAGTAAGGGATTGCAAGCCGTAAGTTCAAGTCTGCCTATTCAAAATGCAATTGACAGTCTTTCTACAACCTCAAGCCACCGTGAAGCTGTCGCACCCAAACATCTTAGCGCCCCGACAGCATGGTGAGCTTGGAGTTCCTGCGGTAGGCACGTGGTTTTGTCACTTAGACATATTGGTCTCACTGCCAGAGTCGCTTGGCCAAACAAAACCACACTTTACGCTCGCCACTAAAGTGGTCCTCCCCAAAAAGTACAAAGTCCATGAACTCGGGGAGTGAGGGGTGCATCTTTGCTCCATTCAAGGCGTGCGAGGCGCAGCATTTCCCTCAAGAATGCACTGCTTGCTGGTACCAACCTCCATTGTGGAGGTGAAGAACAAAATGCTGCAACTGACCATCCGTTTGGATGGGAAGGCGCCACAAACCAAAACATTTAACATGCTGAGATCTGGTATTGGGCAAGTTGCCTGCGGACAAACAAACCCTTTTTGCTTTAGCAGGAGGACACACGCAAGAAACAAACAGGGAGAAAACAAACGGTCAACTAATTCAAACCCTGCAATGACATCGCGCCAGGGTCCTGGCACGTATGGTAAACCCGAGTCTCAAGTTCATTTCTTGCTGAGTTTGAGGCATTCTTGCAGATGCTTGCCCGCTTGCCCAATGTTTCTGTTTCATTCTGGTGTGTGTGTGTGTGCGTGCTAGTAGCCTATCTTTTTTGTCAATGCAGCCTCCCCCTGACCAGATGCTACACATCACTACACAAAGCACTGGGTTGAGGTTGCTGCGCGGCAGTCCTGAAGGGAACGTGCTCCCGGTTGCCATCGCAGAGGGCATGGATGCAGTTGGCCAGCTCGAACAGGCTGCGATTTATAAACCTGGCAGTGGGGCTGAAGCATGCCGAAGCTAACACAGAGGGACCAGCACAGCTGGTGTGGGTGGTGATGGGGGGGGCGCAAAGCCCTTGAAATCTCAGCTGCTACAGCATGTGCAAAGCGAACCGTAATTACAAATGCAATGGAATATTCTCGGCTGAGGCGCAATTGGCAATTGACCTCTCACACTTTGATGCCCCTTTTTGCTCAGTGGCCCAGTCAGAAAGCGGAAACCGACACCTGCCCCATGGCATCAAATCCAAAGTCCATGGCTCTCCATCAATAGGAACTGCAACAGTTGGCAACTGCAACAGTTGGCAACTGCAACAGTTGGCAACTGCAACAGTTGGCAAAGATTCCCCGAACAATGATGACCCTCTCTTTCTTGTCTCACAATGGGCAATGTCCTTTTCCAACTCACATACGAACACATGAAGTTCACAAAATGGTAACCTGTCTGGAACCCCGAAGCAAAACAGCGGCATTCTGTGCTGGCGGCCCCGGTTTTCAAGAGCCGAGCCTCAGCTCCTGGAACCTCTCGCCCTTGCACTCCGAGGTCTGCTCATTCTCGCGCCCCGCCAAATCCACGATCTGCCGAAAGCCAGTGCGGGAACCGTGGAAATGGGTGGGTTCGGGCTGTGGCTGAACACCCCCGAGAAAAGCATACGCAGTGTTCCACATGAACCTGTAAAGTTTGCAGCCTTTTCAAGAATTGAGAGACCTGTGTGGCGGCAAACCCTGGTAGCCAGACCTTTGACCATGGCATGCGATCCTTGGAGCAAAATCTGAGGCTTTGCGACACACAAAGAACATGCCTAAAACCAAGAAGTCAGTCCAACTTGCCTCAACAAATTAAATGAAAGCTAGCTCAATCGCTGCCTGTGTCATTAAAGTGTTGCCCCAACAAACAACAAGTGGTCAGCGCTCTTCCCCGCACCTAATTAGGTAGGGGATGGGGTGCCCACTTCCCACTCCATTGCAGCGATGCGCATGAAATCAAATACCAAACCATAGCTGCGCATGATCCAGTGGCGTTCGCTCAAAATTGCTCCATGCCCTTCACCATGAGGAAAAAAAAAGAAGGAAAACCACTTGAGTCACAAACTTCGCTCGTCCGACCCCTTCCACGCCCAACGTTGCCGGCACTCCCGCTTCACGTTCCGCCTGTATGGTGGCCATGCTATTCTTCTCCGGGCTCGACTTCCGGACCTCCACCTGCCGGCCGCTTTGTGGGGGCGGGTGAGCTATTGGATCACACGCAGATCCGGCCTTGAAGGTGAAAATCGTGTGGGACCGGCTGGAGCGATGGTTCATGGTGGTCCTAGCTCGCCACAGCAAAGCACACTGAGGTCTTGCTTGGAAAGCCTTGGCTGGCTTGCGTTGCCTGTAAGTTTGAGCGTTCGCAGTTGATTGATGGATTGGAGCACCACCAAAAAGCCAACCTATGCCAACCTAATCCCCTGCGAGCACCATGCACCATGTGAGCCCCGTTGCTCCGGATTGACCAGATTTGGAAGGCGCCCCAGGGCCAACGTGCCGTCCATAGCTTCTGAAAATTTGGCGAGCGCCCGGTCCAGTGATTACATGACGCAGTCCTGTTCATACTCATCAACAATCCCCTGATGGACAACCAGATTTTGGCCGGCCTACTGCTATACCCAGTTCTTCCTCGCAAGGTTTGGCAGAGAACTGGCACCCAATCCACTCCATGAGTACATCCCCCCTCAACACCCCCTTAAAAACACAGAACCATTTGCCAACGCAAGCCTCGGGCGTTACGATCCAAGCATCCAAAACACGCACAGCGAGAAAGAGCAACCATCTTACTAATTGCTCAACTCACTTACATTGGACGACCGCCCCCCTCTCGTGCGCGCGCTTCTATTTGCTGTTTGTACGTCAAAGTCAGTTAAAGGCTTGACAGCCTCATCTCATGAAGGGCAGATCTCAAGGGAGGAGCCACATGACGAAACGATGCCCTCCCTGTAGCCTGACATCCCAGGCCCCCCGGTCCTTTCTACCTTCTTGGACTTCTCCCCTAGCAGGGCTTGGACAGGATCCGGCCACTATGGCTGCGCACACCACAGCGCTAGAAGGGTAGCCAGTGGTGCAGTTGGCAGTTAACAGAACGCACTCCAAATCTGCAGGCGGCGCGAAAGGGTCATGGAGCATTCGGTGCGAAGTTCCGTCCCGCCAGATGTCCCGCCTTTCGCCACCAGTCGCGCCACGTCACGAAAGGAGTCCACTGCCAACTCCTGGCAACAGGAAGGAGTCCAAACAGCCGAGCGAGCTGCCACAGAATAATCCATTCCTCAAGAAAGATGGGCGTCTCAAAACCATAAATACGAGCACGCGCCTGAAAGCCCGTCTCCAAACATGACCCTGCCCTTACGCTTTTGGGAGCTAGCTGGGGCACCCTTTGAAGTGCATACCACCTCCGACCAATGCTAATTGGCCTGGCCCCTACCCAACCTCACACAACCTTTTGTGGAAACGAGGGAGAGTGTTTGTTGGGCGCGGTGCAGAGTCATCTCTTTGTCTCTCTCTATCTCTACCTTTCCCTCTCTTCCTCTCTTCCTCTCTTCCTCTCTTCCTCTCTCCCTCCCTCCCTCCCTCCCTCCCTCCCTCCCTCCCCTCCCTCCCTCCCTCTCCTCCCTCCCTCCCTCCCTCCCTCCCCCTCCCTCCCTCCCTCCCTCCCTCCCTCCCTCCCCCTCCTCCTCCCTCCCGCCCCCCCCGCCCCCCCCCCCCTCCCTCCTGCAGGTTCTCCACATAGACACCCACTGCTGGATGAGTTCGTATCTCTAGCCTGCCTGTCAAGGTCACTGCAGGGCGGCGCATGCGCAGCCGTGCTCACGACTTGAAGAGAATAGCGGCTAGCAAGGGATGCCGCAGCAAGGGAGAATCGAGGGGAAGGCAGGTCCAGGGCAAACCCTGCTAATCCATCTTGAGCTCTTTGGCATCCATGGCAACGGATGTAGACCACAGTGTTTCGAGATGCATCAGCCCTGTCCCTGCAGGTGAGGAAGTCTCAGTGGATCAGTGGACACTGGAAGTCATGGGCACAATCAATCCTGCGCTCGGGTTGACAGCAGAACGGGCCCTGTGTGTTGTGGTCCAAGCAATTGATATGTCACGTTTGACGCCACCCTACATTCGGGGAACTCATGATGGTTGTCTCAATCCCCTCTTGAAAAGCTCTTTGGCAAGTCTTTGGTCTTGACCGAAGACACCCTGGATCAAAGCCTCACATGTTGAGGCCCAAGACCGGAACCCTTGTTCCGGAGCCAAACCTGAGCCATGGCGGTTTCAAAATATCCCACTGCCTGCGTGGATTGGCTAGAAAAGGGCTGTACATGTGATTTACCAGACTCAAATGGTCTTCCCACAAGGTGAGCTTTGAGCGGTGAGGGATCAAAAATGATCGTTGTCCGATGGCTCATCCCCCGCCTGGACCGGAAGGCACCGCTTTCCGCGGCGAACCTGCCGCCACGAGTAAGCCCCGGGAAAGGAGAGGCCCTGCGAAAGCCACGGCGTGGAACCCGACGAAAGGATCCGCAAAGGGGGGCAAAAGCATCAAATACTGTTGCCACACGTGGGTCTCCTGAAACGGACAGAATGGCCAGATGATGTCTTTTCAAGAATCCGACAAAACGTGGTCCTCCAGTCAGCTGCTCACGTTTCAGCAGGGTATACATGCCCTGTTTCATTGGCCTTCACGCTGAAACCTGATGAAGCTCCATTCTCCACGACAGGATGCAGGAATTGAACAGGCCGCACATGGCCATGGCGAGTGCTTTTGTGTCCGCCAAGCGTTGACACTTGTTTAGCTAGTCACTTCGCATCAATGAAAAGACCCCGTGAAGGTGAAGGGTCACCCGTCCAGTACCCCAGAAACGTAAAAAGCGTCCCAAACCTGCCCCTGTCCACCCTTCCCCCACTGTCTTCTCGCTAGAAAACAGGCGACCGGCTTTACGGACATGTTCTGTTACCAACCTCCTGGCCACCTGGGACTCTAGGAATTGGCAGGGGACTTCCCGGCCAAAGCACAGCACCCTCTGGGCTTTCGATTCAACACCTGACTTGCCCACTCAAAGCGGCTCCTTGCCGTTTCTTGAACGTCAGGCAAGACTCTTGGCATCTTCATTTACAGCCGCAAGCTTCAATGGACACTAGCCCCGCTCCAAACCGCACTTTCCGTCCGTACTACCCTTGGTTGCTGTTGACCCCCTGCAAAAAAAATGACTTGTTGGGGGTTTAGTGGAACCCCCTTGATTTCCCATAAACAGTTAAAGTCTAAAGATCCAACCCAATAGCAATCAAGTCCTACCCTTCTGGGGCCCCCAGCCATCGAATTCCGATCTTGGGCTCAGGAGGTCTCGGAGCCGATCGTTGTACACCTGCCCCAATCGGCCACAGCCGTCCGTCAGCAGAGCCGCTTCGGCGGATCTAAACAGGCTACAGTTTTCTGATGTGAGCTGAACAAAAGCAACCTGAACCGACAAGCATGGGCAAAGTCGAATGTGCGAAATCTGAGCTAAGAGCCATTCCAGCTTGATCAAACAAAGGCACATGGTTTTCTGTGCGGACAGCTGAAACTCCCCCCCCCCCTGCGCCTCTATGTAGGAGATGCGTACCCTCGAGCTGCTGCCTGGCCAAACTGGCTCACAACTTGCGCCGAGGGGCATGCAAAGGGCATCAAGTCAACATCACAACAACCACAACAACCACTCTCATGTGCTTCTCAGATGGCTCCGGACTGGTCATCAGAGAACCGGTCCTCTCAGACAGCTTCGCCTTGCAACGGATGCTCCGCGCCTTCCAGCTTACCCAAGCGCTCGAAGAGGCCTGCGGCTGGATGCGAGCTTTCGATGTGGGCTCCCCAAGCAATACGTTCGATTCAAAGGCCAAATGCAGCAACTGGTGAAAAAAAGACCTGGTATGCAAGCTAAACACGGCATTTGAGCAAGAACAAATCGAAGGCAAATGCATAGATGCTATTAGTACAACCTAATATGATTCAGCTGATTGCCACGGCTGTGCGGGGGCATGCCAAGTTGCTCTATGTCAAGCTGCAACCAGCATGACGTGCGAATTGATTGGACAGGCAGGTAAAACCCCGGTCTGTCCACACCACCAGCACGAGCAAAGAGTCACAATTTCAGAGATGGTTCGGCTACTAAAGCAGCCAGTCATGAAGCCCTGGAACGAGTGAATGGCTTGCGCCTGGGTACATTGGGGAGATCCTTTCATTTCCGGCCTGCATCTGCCTGATTCGACACAAAACACGGGAAACAAACTACCACAGTGCTTCCAGTTCCCATTTGTAGTCGGTAACCAAGGCAAACCATCACGGAAGCACGTTACCATGCCCGCTTCTTTCCGTCGCCTGGCTGCCCCGCAAAAAAGGGCCCCTGCACCCCCCACACCTTCGGCCAGCCGTGGAAGTAGTCCGCGATGCTCTTGGCTTTGCCAATCACCGTGCACCGTGTGGGTCTTCCTGCCAAGGCCAAACAGGGAGCTTCAACGACCAAGGGGTCCCGTTGATTTTGGATTGTTTGGATGGGTTTGGCCATAGGCCCAAAGCTCCAAACGTGCCCTGGGGCTCCCTGCCCGGTACCCGTCTGCCCGTAAGCAAAGAGGCAGCAGTTGTAGCCTGAGCTCTCAAAATTCACCCGCCCCGCGCTTGAAGTAGACGCTGAGTGAATCTGGTGGCCATTCACGAGCATGAAAACGCGTAGCTGACACAGAAAATAAGATATAATAAGGCTTCTCCGAAGCGGGTTTTGAATCGAGGACTCAAGGGAGTGGTGCTGGCTAGCCCTACGCACACGACTCCTTGCCCAGGAAAGCACAGAAAGTAGGCATGGTAAACAAACAACATCACCGTGGTGAGACAAGGCGTGCAATGAACAACCGAGAGAACGCAAGAGAGGGAGAGAAAAAGAGAGAGGTCAAAGAGACGCTTGGACTCGTGTGTGTGGGGCCGATGCTGAGGTCGATGAGAGAAGGATAACTAATACAGCAAAATACAGTACCTGCTGCAAATGTAATGCCCGAAGGCGTGAAGAATAGTCCGAAGCTACCCAAGCAGCACAAATGACAGAACACAAACGGTACTGCTCCTGGCTGGTTCATTGTTGGCTGTCTGGGGCAATGACCAGTGGTCCCATGCATCACCATGTCCGCCCCCAGGCAGTTGTAGATGGTACCTTCCGCGACAGCGCTACGCTAGTCACCGCTTCCGAAACCTCCAAAAAACAAAAACCTTCGCCCATGGCAAACAAATAATGCAGGCTTCCCAACTCTTAACACAGCGGTTGAACTGGTGGTTGATCTTATCTAGGTTCTCAACTGAATTTTCCACACCAGGATCATCACCTTTCTGGTTGTCCTTCAGACCAACTACTTATTCGTGGAAGCGCGACACTCGCAGAATACACGTGAGACTCGATTTTGTGCCGCATCCTACATTCCACCAAAGCCTTGCATAACAAATCTCACTTAGGATTTAGGCCGAGCTCAACACATGCCAATCGTCCGCCCGAGTTGGCATCTTCTGACCACTTGGCAGCCGTCAGCCGGGCACTCTGATCTGCATAGTCTGTTGAGTCTGGCTGACCTCGGGCAGAGATGGCTCAAAGCCCTTCGAAACAAAATTGCCCTTTGGAACGCAAGGGGCAGCTTTTGGGTTGAGAAACCGCAGGTAGTGAAAGGTACTGGATCGTGATCGCTGTGCATCTCAGTCTCTCTTTCGTGGGGTGCAACAGGCTGTCTTGAAAACAAATACTGCAACAATTGGAGGGGTTGAGCAAATGTTAGTACGGTCATCGGGAAAATTACTGGTGGGACACTGATTTTGGTGGGGCAACGTGAGACGCTCCAAAGGCCCCCTGCTGGAGTCGAATGCGAAGCTGCACTCGAACTCCCGGCCAGGCTGCTGCTTCTGCGGGATAGGCGAACATGGATCCCGGTTGGCTCAGTGAATTGTGGAGAACGCATGCGTCAGAAGACGTCAGAAGAGTCGTCTTAGGGGCTTGACCTTGCCAACCTGTGAAGGCCTGAAAAACAAACTTCGACAAGCTCGCTGTGTCGTTGGCAAATGCAGGAGGCTGTCAATTGGAGAGAACACTGGCACGATCGTCACTTGAATCTACGTGCATTGGCCCAGAATTCCAAGTCCACTTGCGGCATCAAGGATACCCACCTCTGGGTCATAGACAACCACTTGTCCATTGGCATTGACCTGGCGCCAATTTGCAGCCGCACGGCCCGGCTTCCCCCAGCATTTGCAGAAAAAATCACGGCTGAAGAATCACCGCTGCCCAACACAGATCCATCACTCGCTTGAAACGATCGGCACAGCCATTTGTTCTACATGATGCCACTATTTGATAGCAGGAAATCAATAGATGAACGACAAAGCCTCCTCTCGCTTTGGCACATTTAACCTTGACCATTCCAACGCCCAATTTCAAAACATATTATCCCTGGATTACTAGATTTGCACAGTGGAACTCTGTTGCAAGCAAACTTTGAGTTCAAGCTTTGATCGAATAAGACTCGAAGCACGTGGCGGTACTGCCCACATGATCGTCTTTGTTCGGCTCATGACATCGTCGCAGTGAGTTGCTTGATATCCCACATCTCAGTCACTTCAATGCTGTTTTAGTTTTCGAGGCATACACCAGACGCAAGGATCCACATCTTCAGCTCAAGTTCTAGTGCCATCCTTCGGGCCCCGCCCATGGGCGATCGAGCGCAGTTCCCTCAATCGGAGGCCCTGTCTCCACCCTGACCATCTTCTCCGTCCCAGCGACTTCTGGCCCAGAAACCGCAGGCACGGTATGCCGGAGGAGCTCCCATTCGCGGTCCAAAGATGAAGTAGCTGCCGTGTACTCGTACACAGCGCCTTGCCCGAAGGCGGTGGCGATCGCCATGATGGCGCTCCGGCCAGCTGCTGCGTCTGACCGGGAGAAGGCCACGCAAAACCCGTCCTCACGCCACTTCTCAACAACGTGGACCCCGAAAGCGGGCCAAATGGCCGTGACCCGCCCCTCAGACCGCAGCTCCGACAGCTTCTGGAACAATCTGCCGTTCTCTCTGGTGTTCACCTCGAGACTTCGGCTTTGACCAGGAGGATCGAATGCTGTCAGGGCGAACACGACGTGGCTCGCAAAGTACTGAGGAATCTTCTTGACGGTCTTCCCCTTGGCCTGTTCCCTCGGGACGAGGACCACGTGCTCTGACTCGGGCGGGACTGAGAGCATGAACTCGGTTGCACTGTTCCATAGCTTGCCAAGGGCTGCCGCGTCACCTGTGGACACCAGCAGAGAGGCTGGGTGACGCCGCATCATAAACACAGTGGTAATGGCAACTGCAAGGCTACCTCCAGCTAGGTAGCGCCATGGCCCGCTATTGTTTCCCAATCCGCGGGTTGGCATGGCTCATGCCTCGGCTCAACACAAGAGGCCGCGATGTGACAGCGGCCTGGATCGTGGACATCCGGACCCGGCGCCCCAGCGAGCGCCAATTGTGCGCTAAGAACTGAAGGCCATCAGCAGCCTCTGCTCGGCCAGGAAGGGTATAAGGGACACACACAATTGAGCCGGAGAGAAACAGTTCGCCAGGTCGTCGGCAGTAAGTAAACTGCAGCCTGGGAGGAACCAACAAAACAAAATAACAGAAACCAGCGACATGGATGTTGTGATTCAATGATCTTGCATGCCTCGTCGATTTGCCCTTTCTATTCGCGTGCCTTCTTGTTCCTTGGTTGCTGTTTGTCCAGACGGTGACTTGCAGAGCAGTGCGGTGGAACCTGAGCAACCGGAAAGACCACGGACAATCAAATACACTCAGCACCTACACGAGCGCATCAACTCAACACCCATAGGCCTCCACACAGCTGGGCGCCTTGCCAGCCTGGCGATGTGTCACATGTCAAGAGTGCCGTGAAAACCCAGGGGCAGTCGCAAGGCATTCCAGAACCCAAGGCCCTCCAACTCGCTTGGAATGCTTAGATGGAACAAGGCATCGAAATACGGGACTGCAGCTGCAGCTCAATGACCAGTTGTAGCAGAACAGAGTTTTCAGCAGACTTGCCAATTTGGCCCACTGCTTGCTGGCCTTTCGGTCACTGGGCAGAAACGGTCGCAAGCGTACCGCTGTCTGAACCTCAGGTGCACGTGCCGGGGAGCCATGGTCCGGTTTGGTCGATGCTCTTTCCAGGTGCGAGGGTTGCCAAGCCGAGCCCGGGCTAGCACCAAGGGCCAGCAGTGTCTCGATTCAACCAAACGTATTGTCCGGGCACACCATGTCAAGGAATCAGGAAGGACCTCTGCCAAAGGCTACAAGGAACAAAGGAACGGGATTGTAAAAACTTAGGGAGTAAATCTTCAATGCAAGTTTTGTATTATTATTTGCTTAAGCCCCCTGGATTTTTTTAAAAAAAAAACAGTAGTGATAGATTCCCTTTAAATTCAACAAGGCAAAATAATAAAAATACTCTTAAGCAAATGGTTAAGCTTGGCACTCTCCAGCTTGAGGCGCTGGCTCGTTCCCCGCCGCCCCTTGGACTCTTCTCACTGTGCCTTCCCGACTTGGTCGGGGAGTTGGACCTGCTCGGGCAGAATGAGCACCCAGGCTTTGAATTGCAAAAGCATTTGCCAAACTTTTGCCGCCGATCTTTCCATTCCCCAGACCAAAGCATTCCACGCATTTGAACACAGGCCAGTCCCCCCCGAAATGTTTTGACCCCCTCTCGGCTAGAGGGGAAAAGACCTGGAGGTCGGGATTAATTGCGAGCCCACATCGACAAAATGTATATTCAAGTGTAAGGTACTAAGTGTATGTTTATATTTCAAGAAATACCCATATCTATATGTATATATATTATATATATATACATGTCTATATTAACATATTGACATGCATCTAAACACATGAGCATATCAATAAGCAGTCGAACATGCACTGCTTGATCGTTGCCACTGTATTTAATCGTTGGCCGTATAGAATCCGCACACAGCTTTCGCATCCCTCAGGTGAGTGGATGGGCCTTCACAACTCGTGTAAACCCTTTTGCAAGAAAAATGATCTGCGCGAAGAGTTTGTTTTTTCCCGAAAGCATGGCGAAGGGTTCTTCCGCTGGGTTCACTTGAGTTGTTCTCATGAGAGTCATTACAAGGTGTCATTGCAAGGAATCAGCATCATGAAAGTCATTGCAAGGAGTCATTGCAAGGAGTCATTGCAAGGCAAGGAGTCATGCAAGGAGTCATTGCAAGGAGTCATTGCAAGGAGTCATTGCAAGGAGTCATTGCAAGGAGGCAAGGAGTCATTGCAAGGAGTCATTGCAAGGAGTCATTGCAAGGAGTCATTGCAAGGAGTCATTGCAAGGAGTCATTGCAAGGAGTCATTGCAAGGAGTCATTGCAAGGAGTCATGGCAAGGAGTCATTGCAAGGAGTCATTGCAAGGAGTCATTGCAAGGACATTGCACGCAAGGATGATGCAACTTGCACTTGACTCCATGCACTTTGCTGCACTTGACTCCTACGCTTGCTTGCACTTGGCTCCTTGCACTTGCTTGCAACTTGACTCCATGCACTGGCTCCTACTACTTGCATGGACTCCTTGCAATGACTCCTTGCAATGACTCCTTGCAATGACTCCTTGCCATGACTCCTTGCAATGACTCCTTGCAATGACTCCTTGCAATGACTCCTTGAAACAAGCAAGGAGTCAAGTGCAAGTTGCAAGTGCAAGGAGTCAAAGTTAAAATCTCTTCTTAGGGCGGCGGGGTAGTGCCGACGACACTACACGAAAATCGACCCTCTGCGGGGATCGGCGTGGTCGAGGTGCAAAAACCCATGGTTTTTTGCGATTTCTGCGGTGCTCGCGCGACCCTCTGCGGGGATCGGCGTGGTCGAGGTGCAAAAACCCATGGTTTTTTGCGATTTCTAACCTGCCGCGCGACCCTCTGCGGGGATCGGCGTGGTCGAGGTGCAAAAACCCATGGTTTTTTGCGATTTCTAAGTTCCCGCGCGACCCTCTGCGGGGATCGGCGTGGTCGAGGTGCAAAAACCCATGGTTTTTTGCGATTTCTAAAGTGCCCGCGCGACCCTCTGCGGGGATCGGCGTGGTCGAGGTGCAAAAACCATGGTTTTTTGCGATTTCTGCGGTGCTCGCGCGACCCTCTGCGGGGATCGGCGTGGTCGAGGTGCAAAAACCCATGGTTTTTTGCGATTTCTGCAACCCTCTGCGGGGATCGGCGTGGTCGCAAAAACTCGGTTTTTTGCGACTTTTGTTGTTCGAACTGGTCCTCGGGAGTTGTCTCGTGGTTCGCGCGCCTGCTCCCGGAACCGGCGGGTCGTGGGTTCGATTCCTCCCTGGTCCGCGGGCGGGCGTCGCAAGATGCAACTTGTTTAAGAGCAACTTGCGCAGAGCAACTTGCGCAGAGCAAGTTGCACAGAGCAACTTGCGCAGACCAACTTGCACCGACCAGTTTGCGCAGAGCGCCTTGCCTAGAGCAACTTGCGCAGAGCAACTTGCGCAGAGCAACTTACGCAGAGCAACTTGCACAGAGCAACTTGCACAGAGCACCTTGCCTGGTGCTGTCTCGCGCTTGCTTCACGAATGCTTCGTGTAGGGAAAAAAGAACGCATCCTGCAGCGTTGGGCCGACCTTGCTTGCGATGTTCTGCTTTCGGGCCAACCGTGGTCTAGTTTACTGGGGAGCGCCTCCGATTGGCCAGAAACCTTCCAATCCCTCACCTGCGCGCACTGCTCTGCCAGACCGGCTCTGGCTCGTGAGCCAAAGAGGCCTGGCCACCGTTGGCACGAACACCATTGGGATATCCCTCCCAGGCCAAAAACGTGTTTTGCAATGAAAGGCACTCATGTTGCAAACGCGCCGGCACATGTTGACACCTTCAACTCCATGACGTAACTGGGGATCTTTCTGGATGCGATTCTTGTCAACCCTCCCGTCCGTTCGGCATATCAAGGGACCCCCAATTAGTCAGGTTCCTTGCCACTTGCTTCCCGCATTCCCAGGCACCCGCGGCAGGGCTGCCATCACCCTGGCATGGCCTAGGAGCACTCAAGATCTCGGAGAATATGCGGCTCGCGTGAGGTATGTGATGTATTGTGGGCACCTGGTTTGGTCGTTGGCAAATGATTCATTCACAAACTGTCTTCGAAGGGGCCTGTGTCACCGCAGTTGGCTTGGTGCCTGTTCAGAAATTGGTGGCCAAAAACACAACTCAAGAAACCGGTGGAATGTGGAAGACAGGTGGGCAATTCACAAGGCAACCAAGGCAGCCGAGCATATCTACCAAGGCTGTTTCGACTCCAACCGCAGCCTGCCACCATCTGCCACAACACGTGGAAGCTTTCAGTTTTGTGGGTGCCCAAGGATATGGCAATACCTTCCACGCGAGTTGTTCGGCCTGTGTCTGCCCCTCGAGGCTTCGGCCCACGGCGGCGGCCCAGAGCAAGGGCTCCCATGCTATGGCTGCGGTGTGGGAAGCATCGGCCAGCGTCCGACACGCCGTATCCCTCTCGCCGCGCGCACGTGCCCAAATCAATTCAAAGGACCCTGCTGCATGCAACACCTGCCACGCCCAGAACGAGATGTAAGACGCCAAACGTAGTTTCTCACGTTTGACGTCGTTCGACTGTGCCTGTCATTCAAGCACACGGGAAGGCAAAGGCTCCGCACCCCAGGGAAGATGTTTTATGCCTTCTTCGAAGCGGTCCTTAGACAGGTCCTGGCAACCCGGGGAGTAAGGGAGGTCCTTATGCTGTTCCTGGAATGCAATGCCGCCATCCCCTGGAAACACCACCGGCCGGCTTCAGCTCGGGCCGGCACATCCAAAGGACTCTCCCTGCGGGGATCGGCTGGGAGCTGGGGCCTGGTGACCTCTGACTCAGGCCTTCACCCTGGACAGACATGCAAAACAAGAAAGACCGCTGCGCGTAGAAAGCTGCACGGTATTTTGCCAAATAAACCGCTCAAAAACAAACGCAGCATTTTCCGAGTTCGGTGCCAAAGCTCTTCGGCCATGCCCTGCCCCACCTGTCTGACGTGCGCCACAGCCAAATGGCCAGACAGCCGTCCTGGCACGAACCGTATCGATTTGCAAATGCACAAGGCTGGACATGTGAGGGATCTGAGAAGGCGAATCTCAGCGTCAATTTCGCTCTCCGACCCACCTCCGCGCTGGTGGCGAGGATCCAGTACTTTGCCTGGATGTTTTTGGAGCGGCAGCACCTGACCATGCCGCGTCGCTTGAATTCTCTAAGAAAAACCCTGGGTTCAAGTCTGCCCTGCAGTCAAATAAAGAAGTCATCAAATGTGCGACGCACCCCAACCAGCAAACAATTGGCAATGCCCGGCAAGATTCGAACTGCTTGACGCTCCTTGACCAATGCCCAGTGCCTGCAG